TCATGTCTCCCCTCAGTCGTCATTTCTCCTTTATTTTCTAGAGAGTCATGCAGGAAGTGGATCTTATGTCAAAGCATTGCTCCTGATGGCTACGCATCAAAGGGGTAATTTTGTAGAAAGTTGATTCTCCTCCATTATATCCAGGGCTTGTTCACCACCACCTTGGGGCTGCATCACAATCGATGAAGGGCATCAACAGGCCACTGGGGCTCATCTTGCTCCTTTGTGAAGGAGGCCACAGTGCGTAGCTTGTGCCTCGTATCCCTTCCCGGCAAGGACTGCTACCCACACAGGTCTCTTTTGCACCTCTGCTGCCAGTGGCATAGACCGAGGAGGCAAAATACCTTGGGACTGTATCCCAAATATCAAAGTGTGTTGTCTCCTGATTAGAAGTCCCCAGGGACAAAGAAACCCCAGTCTGTGGCGAAGGTTCCTCCAACGTAAGCTGAGCACAGATTCTCGAGGATGCGAACAAAATTAAATCTACATTTCTGGGGTAAAAACAAGGTCAGAGAAAGAAGCTTTGGGACAGCCTGGATCAGGAACTACTTCTAGCTAGCAGGTAACACTGCCTTCTCTGTCTTCAGCCACTGACGGATCATATTACCGCATCTGGCCGGAAACCCCATCCGACAGAGACCGCTCTGAGGGTCTGCACCCCATCTGGGCGTTGCCTTTCCCCGCAGAGGTCCATCACTCCGGGCCAAAAGCAGGGCTGCCAGCGAAGTGGGTGCACAGCAGGCCCGGGGGAGAGAGAGAGAGAGAGAAGCAGCAAGAAAAGCTTCCTTTTATGGCTCGTTGCAAAAGCCCCCCTTGGGATTCCAGCAGCACAGTCCCCTCCTCCAGTGTGGCTGGCAGCCCTGACTGGTCTCTTTGCTTCCCAGGCTGTTTGCAGGACGGAAATCAAAAACAGAGTTGTTTGAGGTGCCTCTGCTACGATCGCCTTCGCCGCGGCTGCTTATGAACATGAAAACGGTCGTTATTCTCCTGTTTTTGGCTCTGGCCACAGTTTTTGCTTTAGTTTGTGTCTTGTTGACTAAAAAGGAGAAGGTTACGACTTGTGTCTGCACAGAGCTACCGAGTCCTCCTGAGGATATAAATGGTGAGGAGAGCAACATATTTTCCGACTTGACAGAAGAAGAGATGGCTCAAGTGGTAACGTACCTCAAGGACAACCTCGGCGTCCCTCTACAAGATGCTCTTCACGCAGAACCAGCAGACAACTGCATTTACTATCTGGACGTGTGCCTCCCTGTGAAAGCAGATGCGTTGGGCTTCCTGGACCACAGTAGGATTCGACCCCCTCGGCAAGTATTGGCTGTGGTATTCTTTGGAGGCCAGCCAGATCCAAATGTTACAGAATTCCTGGTAGGTCCCCTTCCAAATCCGACGTACCATCGGGACATTACACTCAGGAAGTTTGGCAGGAAAGTGCCATATCACAGCAGACCAGTGACTGAGAAGGAATACCGGGACATTGACTCGTTTATTTTCCATGAGCTCTCCAAGGCCCCGACCTTCCTCAAAGACTGCTGTGAGTATCCCGAGATGGACTTGGCTACACTGACTACAGCCCCCCGAGGTCTTGAGTCTGGAGACAGAGCTACTTGGTTTGTCCTTTTCCAGAATGTCTTCGGCAGCGGCTACTACATCCACCCGGTTGGCTTGGAGATCCTGGTGGATCATAGCAGCTTGGACCGCTCCCAGTGGGAAGTGAAGAACGTGTTCTACAACGGCCAGTATTACCAGGGCCTTGCACAACTGGAAAAGGACTACAAAGACGGGCGTGTAAAGGAGATCAGGGTCAAAAGAGTCCAGCCGGAGAATGACTTTGCATCCATGAAGCCGCCGATGCCACCACCTCCTGCTCCTGCAAGCCCCCTGCAGTTTGAGCCCCACGGGAAGCGCTACAGTGTCACGGGCAGCCGTGTGCTCTACCAGTCATGGAGCTTTGCCTTTGGGATGAACGTGAACACCGGGCCACGTCTCTTTGATATCAGGTTTGGCAAGGAGAGGATTGTCTATGAGTTGAGTCTGCAGGAGGCCCTGGCTGCGTACGGGTCTGACTGTCCGGGGGGGATGTCCACCAGATACATGGACGGCAGCCTTGGCATTGGGAAGTTTTCTTTTGAGCTGGTGCGGGGCGTGGACTGCCCCTATGCGGCCACCTACGTGGACCGACACTACTTGATCGATTCTGATACCCCCAGGCTGAACAAGAACTCCTTCTGCATCTTTGAGCATGACATGGGGGTGCCCCTCCGTCGCCATTTCTCCAACATGGGCTCTTTTTATTATGGGGGGCTAGCCCAATATGCCCTGGTCTTAAGGGCTGTTTCCACCCTTATCAACTACGATTACGTCTGGGATTTTGTTTTCTACCAAAACGGTGCTATAGAAGTCAAGGTCCATGCCACCGGATACATCAGCTCCTCCTTCTTCACCGGCAAGGGAAAGGCGTACGGGAACAGGGTCGGGGAGCACACGCTCGGGACCATGCACACTCATCTGATGAACTACAAAGTAGACCTGGATATTGAAGGTAGGTCCTCCTTACCAGGAAC